AATATCACGTATTAATGATTCTACGTTGCATTGAATTATTGGTTTTGTCGAAACGGTGAAAATGTGTCGTTTTCTGTACCCGATTCATATTGATGTCAGAAGCCATCAGTATTCAAGTGATCGTCTCAGAAAAGTGGAGGAGCTGCAAAATAACCGAACATTTCCTTCTCGCTTCACGCATTCTCTTATTTGTCTATTGAGGAGAGCCGAGATGAAAACATGATACCATTGAAAATTCAATGCTTCCTATTCAATTTTATACATTTTATATTATTCTATTTTCTGTATATATAATGCATAGTTATAAGGATTACAATAAATCTTCGTTTTATCCAATAGTTTATTATATTATATAATATTGTTTTAACCAAATTAATCTTTGTTTTAGTGACCTATAAACGTACATTAAATAATAGTTCAAAACAAAAAATAAAATAGAAATTTGTGTTAAAAAGCACCAAATCACAATAGTTTGTAAATAAATGGCAAGAAAAGATTTATTTAAATATACAGAAACATGATGATTATGTACATTTCATAGTTAACAAAAATAATCTTGTACAGATAAATCCTCCAGTAAAACAAGTTTACACGGAGTCTTGAATAACACAGTCAAATTTCAGTAAAATATCAGATACCTCACACCTCACTGAATAAATTCGTAGGATGATATGGTGCCTCTATCGACAAATCCATATGATTTTTAGAAAGTACCAACCTTCAGACGGCGTCTGTCAAAATTTCATGGCAATCTGACGTTTTGTTCATAAGTTACAGTGGGTTTAGTGATGCTACTTTTGTAATTTTCAAAGCAATGGAAAAATCTGAATTTCGTATGTTGATAAAACATTGCTTTTTGATGGGAAAAAATACCGTTCAATCAAAGTAATGGTTTGATAAGTGTTATGGGGACTCTTCTCCGTCGAGAAAAATGGTAGAGAAGTGGTTTGCTGATTTTAAACGTGGTCGTACAGACACAAATGGTGGTGAACGCACGGTCGCCCAAATTTGGCAATTGTTGCAGAAAACATAAAAAAAGTCTACAAAATAGTTTTGGCCGATAGTAAATTGAAGATTCATGAGAAAGCTGACACCCTGAAGATATCAGAAGGCAGTGTATTCACCATTTTGCATGAACATTTGAAAAACCAATAGCTAATATTATATGGAGTTATTGGTGCGTTTGAAGGAAGAAATTGCGAAAAAACGACCACGAATGAAGAAGAAAATAATGTCACCGTGTCACAAGTCGATCAAAACGATGGCAAAAATAAATTGCACTTTGCAGACTTAAAAATAATGTTCAAGGGAAAGAGATTTGGCTCCAATAAAGAAGTGATTGCCGAAACTAAAGCAAATAAAGTCGAATATTGCCCAAAAGTTGTTGTTTTATTAGTCATCCTACGAACTTATTTTATATCCATTTGTATATGTATTTGGAGTATCGAATAACAAGAGTAACAAGAAGCACAGATCCAATTATTCAAAAGTTGACTGTGGTCTCAATTATTTTTTATTACATTGATTTTTCACAATTGATAAATACAGTTAATTTTTAAACTGAATCATATATACTTGATTATATTAATATAATAATAATTTGGAATCCCATAAAAATCAACCGCACAAAAAGAGTATAGTCAAGTCTATTTTTGTGCTCTTTGTGTGGGAAAAACGATAATGTTTTGTATAAAAATAAAGTATCAAAGGGCAGAAACTTGTTGCAACAGGATTTTCAGGAACAGAAACCCGGATCCAAGCTGTAGCTAAAAGCGAGTTCAAGTCACATTTTGCGAATTCATTATTCAGATTCAGAAATTCTTCCCCGAATTCTACTTGAATTCCAATTAAGGCGTACGTGCATCGTGACCCAAAGTGTGAACGGAATGATTAAAGTATGATTAATATTCTCACGTCAAATCCAAGTGAAAACAACGTTAAACCCGAAAAAAAAAATACCAAAAGAATCTACGAGAAGGAAATTATTTTGGCAATTGCGTGTTGAACAAAAATTACGTTTGTAGCCTTAATATATTCCTTTTCAATTTCCCAGATTTATTAGAGAGATGTAATTTGATGAAGGAACAGTACATGTACATTTGATTCGATTTTTACAAGAGAAACGTAATAAGAAAAGCACTCTTTGTGCAATGGATATTTGTAAAATGAAAGAACAATACAATGGAAGCAATGTTATTTCAGTCTAATTGGAGGCAAAGAAAAAGAAAGATGTATAGCAGAAACGCAGACCAACTTTGAACAGAAACGCTTTGTACTTTGTCGTAGCACAATAACGAACAGGAATAATTGCTTGTCTAGCGAAATTATTAATTAGGGCGAGTATCGAAAATATTTAATTAAATAAATTTCGTTTAGATGTGTAAAAACAAAACCAAATTATATAGAAGCACGAAACAGCGAGAAAATAGAATTTAATTAAATCAAGTAAGATTGTAGCATAGATGAAGAGACACGTATGATACGAATTTAACATTTTCTTTGATGTCCTCATTTCTACTGCAAAGAAGATATGAACTACAAATGTTGAAGTTCATTTGCAAATACTAAGCTAGATATTTCTGTGATAAATCTGATCAATAAAAAGGAAATGATATTTCACGATCGTGTAAATATCACAGCTTAAAAATAAGTAAATGTGTACTTTCATATATAATAACTAATAATAAAATCATGATTTCTTAATAACAAGTATTTATTTGAACGAAAATAACAATTAAATATATAAAGACTTCTTTATTTACAAAAATCTATACTTATTTATTTTTCGAAACCAGTTTAGAATAATACTTTAATTTATTTGATAATTACGTCTATTAAATATACACATGTTATTACATCTCAAATATATTACAATAATTTAGTATTTTAGTGTAATGTCCTTCATACTAAAAGTAAAAATTATATAACACAAATGAAATCACATATTTTTGTTACATCATTGCGTGCATGCAGCATTCGATCTTGTTGGCAATACGCTATAATTTTTTATTTGCGTATTTGGATAAACGTAAAGGAAGGGAATACCTTCATGCTCGTAAATAATCCATTACTTAAGAATCGAACGGCGTATAAGACTGTTACCGGTAATTGAATAATTTATCATTGGGAAATAGAACAACTTCGATTATTATCCACGAGAAATAATGATCTAATTAAAACTATAATTTACTTCATGGAATGCCGTTTGGTAAATTAAATAAATCACTGATATTTGGTAATAAATTACTTTAAATTTCGATGTAATTTTGTTTTGAAACTGCCGTAAGTAGTAATAATGAGGGTACATTATTTTTGAATCATGTTTTTTTTCAATTTCAATTATAATCAATGTTTTATTACGTAAACTTTCAAATAATACGAATTATCTTTGTGTATATTAACTCTACTGTTTGTGTAGTATTATTTGGTTTATTGATTTTATTCTATATATTTTAAAGTCCTCAACGATCTTTCGAATAATAATAGGTGTGTCAATTGGCGTTTAACTTAGAGTAATTGCAGAAAGCAACTTGGAAAGTTCATAAAAATATTGAAAGTTTATAAAAACGTACAATAGGAAAACATATTAAGAATGCATGAATATATAAACTGAGATTAAATTTGCTTATAAATTACTATTTTGTTGAATAATCAATAATTTACACAAATTATTCAATTACATTTGACTGTTATTTAAGTCAAATATAATAAATAAAGAAGAATCAATTTAAAAATATATAATAAATTTACATTATTATAAGCCTGATAGATGATAACCTGAAAATTATACCGAAAAAGTAAATAGTTTGATAATGTGATTATCCGACCAATATCCATAATTAGTAAAGTTTCGATGATATAGCTAATTAGTGGAATTATATTATTTTCTGAATATATTAATTTCTAAGAGATGCATAGTTTTGTTACCAAGGAAGTTTGCTTCAAAACTTTGATGAAACCGGATTATCTCTTTGGGGGGACTCACCACAGATATAATACGTAAATTCAGTATAGTGATTAACTAACTTTAATGAGGATGACTATAGTTTGTATTCATTCTACAAACATCTTGATACTGATATATAGGATTCTCAAGGAAATAGACCAAGTAAAAGCGAAATATTTGAAAACTCGGACAAAGTATATAAAATACATAATAACCAATATATATAAAAAAAAATTCAACAACATGAATCAATATTTAATAAGTACTTGTTAGTTAAATAGTTTTTTTTTAAGAAAGTATTATTTATTATTATATATTATTTATGAAAATAAATAAACATCGTTTTTATAATTTTCTAGTCATGATGCGTATAGTATGTGTTTCTTAAATATAAAGAACTTATTTTTGTATTTAATATGAAAAATATACAATTGATAAATATCTTAATATATTGAATATTTTTATAATAATATGTTAGAGTCATGGAAGTAGTAATATGAATATTCAATACCAATATTAATATAACTAATGCACAATATAATCACATATACCTCACTAATAGGAATATAGAACAGGGCTAACAATAAAGTAAGTAAAGAAAACAAAATTAGAGTAATAATTATATAATTAATTAATATTTATAGAATTCGATAAAATTATTACTATGTAACAAGGCATTATATATAAATAATAAATTTATGCTTTTGACTACAACAGGAAAATTGCTTGCACATTTGCTCATGATTATTCAAATTGTGTATTGATTATAGATAACCAACATTACATTATTGAATTGATTTTTTTTCTCAAACTTATAATTTGGAACTTAAATAATTTTGGACAAAGTTCATGAAATAAAGTAATTTGTTAATGGACTTATTTATTTCTAAATGAAGTGTTACTATTACACTGATCAGTTGTTATATGAAATCGTATGTATAAAAAATGGTTTTTCAAAAAGTATAGATGTTCTATAGACTGTAAAATAGCCTACTGTGTGTAATATGTGTGTATGTTACGCATGTATATCTATCCTATGTAATTTGCATTACAGGTCACAGGGCACATTCGGTGTTCGTTGGTGTGCACATCCCCGTGGAGAGGCGACATTCTCATCGCCGTCACAAACACCACCATCGTTCTTCAGAATGTAGCGCACCAGAGGATGAAAGGCCCAGTAAGCTTATCTATTATAAACCGAAACCAGATTATATTAATAGGGGAACGAAATTACCTCACCCCGCAACCCTGAACAGGTTGTTGTATATAACGTTAAAATCCCCATCCCCTCGATCCGATTCAACTATGATTCAGTAACCACATCGATCTGTGCGTGAAGCTCGTTCGGCCCCGATTTTAAACGTTTCCCCATTTATTTTTCTTTCGGCTGCAAAATCTAAATCCAATCATCTCTGATTCAATTCGATCGGAATTCATACACGAGAAGGGTCGCGATAATTGGGTCACCCGATTCAAACCCTTTATGGACGTTACCATATCCAACCACGTACTGTTTCGGTTTAATGCTAGTTATTTATGTTGCGTGCCTAAAATCTACCCTTTATGCTAAACTGATCCTTTCAGGACTATTAGTGACAAGACGCGCTCGTCTCAGTATTTCAGAGGACGGCGAATTATGTAAGCTAGTGTGTTTTGCAACCGTTTTCTGTTTCTACGTTCTTATCTACTATTTCTTCTATTTCTCTACTAATCTCACTCATTGTTCTACAAACGTCATCTATTTTCGAACGTCATAAATCATAGCAAAAACGGAGCACCTACTTATACATGTCATGAGTCAAACCGACTATAGTCATAGTTTGCATGTCAACTGTTTTATACTTATTTGCGAAATGGCTTCTATAAAGTTCATAGCTTACAGTACTTAATAAAATGCCTCTTATAAAATTATATAGTCTATACCTTATTAGGTATAAGCTTTAAATACTGTTTTTGAATTATTTTTCACTAACTATATCAATGTGCTTTCAACTGAAAAGTCGCTTTTGTTATTTAAAGTGTTTACTAAGTTCTTGAAACTGCGGAAATTCCATCATTTCCTTTTGCATGCAATCTTCGCACGAAATGTGTTTAGCTGCGTTACGTAACGAGAAGTGTTTGTCGGTGTGAATATAATTTACTATTTTTACGTTCGCAATTGTTTTTCATTTATGCTAATTGTTGGGAATCCGTCGTTGCGTCAGTGCGTTTATCTAACGTTCAATTAATTTCCAGGTACTCCGCCAGCTCAGAGGGTCCAATTCATTTTGGGCGAAGAAATAGACGATGGCACCCAGAGCCATCCTCTCTTCTCCGAAATGGAGGAGTTGGTCGGTGATGGTGATGACATGGAATGGAAGGAGACGGCTCGCTGGATCAAATTCGAGGAAGACGTTGAGGAGGGTGGAAACAGGTGGTCGAAGCCGCACGTCGCTACCCTCTCGCTGCATTCTCTTTTCGAGCTACGCAGCCTTCTCCTCAACGGAACTGTCCTCTTGGATATGGAAGCAATCTCCGTCGAGCAGATCGCCGATTTGGTCATTGATAACATGGTCAATGCAGGTACACTTCCAGCGGACAAGAAGGAAAAAGTAAGGGAAACCCTCCTCAAGAGACACAGGCATCAGCACCAGCGCAAGAAGCACGTCCTGCCGCTGATCAGAAGTTTCGCCGATATCGGAAGAAATCATTCCTCGTCTAAAAGTAAATATCATATTTTTAACTACAACAAAACACACTAATCTCTACTAATTTCAACATACAATTAGCATAGTCTCAAACATATAAATTATATATATTTTTTTATAAATCTTGAAGTTTTCGTAAGGTCTTTGATACATTCTTTTCTTGTGTCGTTGGTGACGCTTTTACAGATGGATGTTTTAATTTAATGTGTGTTCAGCCGTCAAGGAATTCGTCATCTCTTAATGTTCACGTTGTGGAGGATATGACAAGCTCGCAAAAACGAAACGGTTCTTATATTTCCGTTCCAGGTTAGACAAAACAGAATGGGGAATCCACAAAAGGAAAATCTCGTTTTCGAAATTCCGTACAATAATCCTAAATACGCGAGTATAACCTGCAAATAAACTGCTTGTTGTTCGTTAAAAAAAAACAAACAAACAATGGACAACAATCAATATAGATTTGAATTTACAAGTATGCTTGGAATTTGGTGGAGGATTTGGTTCGAACTCAATTTGTAATATTTCAAGTAGCTACAATAATTAAATTGGTAACAAAATATTATTAATCTTAATTGAAAGATTATCTTTTCGCAATAAAACTTTCGTTATGTTTTTTTCTATTTTTCCGCGCGCCTGTTCTTCCGGAAAGGATTCATTTTAAGCTCGAATGATTTGGAGAATATTCCGGATTGAAATCCGATGTGACCTAAATGTCATTAAAATTAATCTCACAGCAAAAGCATTCAAGCTTTAAATTAACTTTTCTAAACAACTATGGATATTTGATTAAAAAAATCCATACAAATATGACGAATATTAATTAAAGAAAAACATTTTTTTTAAAAAGCCTTCATTAAGATAAAATCAATTATATATAGATATTAATATTTCAATTGATCGATTTAATGTAATAAAAATGTCATCTAAATTTTTCTATTAACTGGAAAAAAAAAACTTATCTTAATTTAAGCCAATTAAAATCATATATATACATATGAATATAAAATACAAGTTTCTGCCAGATAAAATATCCCCAACTTCCCTTTTAAATGCAAATTTATGACTTTCCAACTAGTCTAATTAACTAAAGACCCTGGAAAATAATAGTACTATTTTTTCTCTTTAATTGATGAACTTTAATATGTAGTTTAAAATAATTATAATAGATTACATCTCTTTGATAAATATTTTGTACCAATTATTCTTAGTAATTTTTAACCCGGCGCATCCACCTACACTTATTTTAATTTATTAAATCGTTTATTACGGAAGTGTATAAATTTGCTTGAAATATTACAATCGACTTGGACTGTATATTCTATAGACTAACAAAGTAGATGTAGAAACACGCATATAATTCTATCGTTGGGGAGATTGTCTCAGTGTCATTGAATAAGCTGAATGTTACATCGAACGTGTCTCGTTATTATCGTTGCTGTTTGGTGGTGGTCGTAGCGATTTGTTTCCATCTAATATAATACAACGTGCGCCTGAGTTGAATGCTAACTGCGAGAAGTTGAAAACGATGGTTCTAGAGAGCTTTTCACATCACCTAGTTTCCACATCAATAGTCGCTTTCGAAACGCAAAGAAGAATTTGTCAAATCTCTTTAATTGCATGTGAATCATTTCATCTTACAATAAGAAAAAAAAAGAAAATTTCTTTATTATTTTTCTCCTTTCCTATTGTTACATAAATCAATGAGAGGAAATTTTCTTTTCTTTCCACAGCCGTTTATAGCGCACACGTCATGGGTTTCACAACATGGTATTGGTTTAGACATCACGGCAAAGGTTTGCTTCTTACCTAACGCACAATAATATCAATAAAATATATATCTTCAAAGTCAATTCTCTTTTACATTTTTTGAGTATTGGAACTTCTTACATTCTATTTTCTTTTCCTTCTGTCAGTTAACTGTTATGCCAATACGAACATAACATGTAATTTCTATAGTGCTTGCATTTCATTTATTTTGTTTATTCTACTCTCTTATACCACGTATTCTGTATGACTAATATATCTCTTTCGGTGTCGTAATAATCAGTGCACCGAGGCCGAATAAAGTATTGTGTGATATGTAATCTACTTTTTGAAAATTTACAGTTATTTTTCGTGAGATTCGCTGTGAGGATTATTGTAATCCTATCGGGAATTTACATATCTTAATGAGTTTCACTGTATCATACTTTACTTTGTCTCGCTGCACATAAATATTTGTATGAAACTGTTGAAATATACGTACATTTCTTTTTTAACTAATTTTTTTAATATACTTTTTACACCACACGACACAACAGAAAAATCTACATATAAATTAAAATAATTATATTTATTTGATTGGATTTTGTTAGCGCTTCGGAAGCCGTTATAAAAATCATCGGAGGAAAAATATGATAATCTCATCAAATTCCATTAGGTTTTTCCTTTTAATATTCATAAGATCGACCGGATAAAATTTTAATTTGTTCGACCTTCCTCTTACAATTTACATAGTCGAATCGCATAACATCTGCGATTTCTTCATAATCTCGTCCCCTACGCTGACATTCAATTTTTTAAATGGATCATTTATACTTTATGCAAATCGTTTTTCTAATTTTCTTCTTATTAAACGGTTAATTTTTATTAATTTCCTACATTGTTTGTAAATAACAACTTTTGATATGTCAAAATATATGGTTTATGTTTGGTTTGATAATATTTAATAAATTGTTTTCTACTCATTTTAATAATTATTTAGTAAATTTGTAAGGGTGCCCAATTTGAAGTTGATGTTTTTTTATGTAAAAAGTTGCGTCTAGTGATTCTAAAAATTGCAGAAAATGTATTAAAAAACAAATCCTAATAAATTTAATTAATATATATAAACAATGAGATAGAATATTATAATACTAGAATTGATAATTCCCGTATTATTGTTTACTCGAAATTATAGAACGACAAAAATGACGTAATTGTCAATAATATATGAATTGCGTTTCTTATTCTGGAATTGATAGATTTATGTGCTGTAAATATGGGGGCTATGACGTAGATGGCAGATGAGTTTGTTGTTACGTGGCTTATTAATGGATTGATTACGAAATGGATTAAATACACTCTTTCCTTCATACGAGGGTTGCAAACTCATTACGTATTCGCGTCTCTTCTTGAAATTGAATTATTCCAGCCCCGTCGTTTCCACGTGGGCCGTAAAAATTAATCTTCCATGAGCAAATTTCAACGGAGTACACTCAACTACATATATATATATGTTCAAATACATATACCAGCTTGTGCTTCAATTTATTTTTGTTCTGTAATTATTTATTTTGTTATACATATATGTGTTTCTTAATTGCGTGTGATTGCTTCGTTTACTATCATCATATGTTGTTACTGTTATGTCTTTAATTTTCGAAGTATTCCGCTGTTCACCAGAAGCAACGTTCTTGATCTTATGTGATTTGCTTTGCAGTTGAAGAACAGACCTTCGGGGATGGTCTTGGGAAGCAACCGGATTTTGGGAAATTCTTAACGATTCCCGGCCAGGGTAAAGTGTTCGCTGTTACCAATGAAATCCTGCCGCAAGCAATTTCGAACATCCTTCTTTATTTATGTCAGCATGCTTTTTTATCATAGCGTCATCATAGAATGCAACATTTCGTAGCAGCATTTTTTTTTCTTTACTTGTTGATCCATTCTTTTTTTTTATGTATTTTGTTCTATGATTTCTTGTTGTTTTATTCGATGTATTTGCTTTTTGCCTGCTCGATGTAATCGTCGCTTTCAGTTACTAATCTGCATCTGATGCTTTAGGAAATGACAAGACACCGTCGCCCGACAGCTTGACAAAGAGTTCCAGCGCTCAATCCATCAGCAGGAATCACAGCTCGAATAACTTGGAGGGTGCCAACGGCGATATTCCGCAGCACAATTTACAATTCATGAGGAAAATACCGCCGGGTGCGGAAGCCAGTAACATCCTTGTAGGAGAAGTTGATTTCCTCGATAAAACCGTATCAGCTTTTATCCGTCTGAATGCTGGAACCGTTATGGGGGATTTAACCGAAGTCCCTGTACCGACGAGATTCCTTTTCGTCCTGCTGACCCCGAACAATGGCAACGCGGGATACCATGAAATTGGAAGAGCTATGGCCACTCTCATGTCAGACGAGGTTTTCCACGAGGTGGCTTATAGGGCTAAGAATCGCAGCCATTTGCTGGCCGGAATTGATGAGTTCTTGGATGCCGTCACAGTTTTACCACCCGGCGAATGGGATCCTGCTATTAGGATTGAACCACCTGCAGCGATACCATCACAGGTATAGTCTATAGTACTCTATAAAACGTGTAATGACTAATAACGAAATTTCATGATATAGGACGTCAGGAAACGACCACCTGAAAAGCCAACGGAAGAGGTCGATGAGCAGGAGGAAGAGGCTAAGCAGCGAGAGGAGTCCGGTCTTGCACGCAGCGGTAGACTATTCGGAGGTTTAATTAACGATCTCAAGCGAAAGACACCGTTCTATTGGTCGGACTTTAAAGACGCGCTGTCTCTGCAATGCATCGCATCCTGGATTTTCTTGTACTTCGCATGTCTCTCCCCGATCATCACATTCGGTGGTTTATTGTCGGAAGCAACAGGCAAGAATATGGCCGCTATGGAGTCATTAGTTTCCGGTTTCGTCTGCGGATTAGGGTACGGCTTGTTCTCCGGTCAACCCTTAACGATATTAGGTTCGACCGGTCCAGTACTCGTCTTCGAAACTATAGTGTACGAGTTTTGCCAAACGTTGCACTGGGACTACCTTTCCTTCAGATTCTGGATCGGAGCATGGATTGCAGTCATTCTCCTCATCCTGGTAGCTGTCGATGCTAGCGCCTTAGTGTGCTACATCACTAGATTTACGGAGGAAAATTTTGCTACGCTCATTGCTTTTATTTTCATTTACAAGGTATGATTTAATTGTATCTTAACTATAGGTTTTTAAACTACGTTGGTATGTTTTTCAGGCCGTCGAAAATGTAATTTTGATTGGCAAAAAATTCCCAATTAACACGACCGGACTGGACGTAATACCATTCGATTGCGATTGCTTCATAAATGACTCTGTCAAAGAGAATTACCCGGAGGTTGGCAACTGGTCGAACGTGAATAAAACTGCGTGCTTGGTAAAAAAATCCTGACCTACTGTTAGCTATAATTCCATTATACTATATTTGTGATTTTAGGAATTTAACGGAACATTGATTGGTGAAGGATGTTTTGCGCCGCATTACGTGCCTGACGTGTTCCTGATGTCGATAATCCTGTTCCTCGGCACTTTCATACTCTCCGTTCAATTAAAGGACTTCAAGAACGCGCTCTTCTTTCCGGCCAAGGTAAGCAATTACATTAAAACTAATCGTATCAATTACAAAAATTATTTCTCTCTCAGGTCCGTGCTTTTATAAGCGACTTCGCCGTAATTATCGCAATCCTATCGATGTCCCTAATGGATTACGTGGTGGGAATTTCAACCCCGAAACTAGAAGTTCCACATGAATTGAAGCCAACTTTACCAAACCGTGGTTGGATTGTGTCGCCTTTCATGAACCCGATATACTCTATATTCCTGGCTATCCTTCCCGCCCTCCTCGGAACAATCCTCATCTTCATGGACCAACAAATCACGAGCGTGATCATCAATCGTAAAGAGAACAAATTAAAGAAGGGCTGCGGCTATCATTTAGATCTCTTCATTTTATCGATTCTGATTATGATTTGCTCCCTGATGGGATTGCCTTGGTTCGTGGCTGCAACGGTGCTCTCCATAAATCATGTGAACAGCCTGAAGCAAGAATCGGAATGCGCTGCTCCCGGCGAAAAGCCCCAGTTCCTTGGTGTCCGAGAACAACGTGTCACTCACATTCTCATCTTCTTAACAATCGGCTTGAGCGTCTTCCTCACTCCCATGCTCGGCCACATACCGATGCCAGTACTTTTCGGAGTCTTCCTCTATATGGGCGTCGCCTCCCTCAAGGGTTTACAATTCTTTGATCGAATCCTTATCATATTCATGCCAGTCAAGTATCAACCGGATTACATGTTCTTGAGACAGGTAAAGAAAGCGTGCTGCCATTAACCTCGAAAGATTCATTGATAAATTGCGTTTCTTTTGATTGTTTCTCTTTTAGGTTCCTCTGAAACGTGTGCATATATTCACATTAATCCAGATAGCTTGCTTGGTTTGTTTGTGGGTAATCAAATCGTTTAGCACAACATCAATCCTGTTTCCACTTATGCTCGTTGTGATGATCGGCATCAGGAAGTCATTGGACTTGGTGTTTACACGCAGGGAACTGAAGATCTTGGACGATGTCATGCCGGAAATGAGTAAACGCACGGAGCTGGCAATGATCGATGTTGAGGTGGGCTGGAAGTCGAAACTTAGGAAATTCTGTTGTAGCAAATCTCTATTTAATAGCAGCAAAACCGAAAAAATAATCGTTGACAAAATTTAAAATCATATAATATATATTACGTACATATATATACACACAACTATATACATATAAATCTATAAATTTAATAACATTTAGAAAGATTAATCAAGAGGTATGTACTTAGGTTTTTTTTTCTTGAAAAATTCGACAAAATTCTAGTCATTCACATCAAAATTCACGAAATGAAAAAGAAAATATAATATACCTCACCTCATCTCATTAACAAACTACACGACACAAATTGTATTTGTTTCGCTTCCACTTCTTTATTTCTTGTTTCATTGATTTGTCGAAACATACGGGTTAGAAAGAAACGAATGAGCCAATTCTTCCGTTCCGTTCCACATGCAAAAGGAAGAATTCTACTCTCATTATGATTATAAAATAATATTTTGTATTATTATTTTTTAATTTATCTCTCTCTTCCCATTTATCTATTTTTTTTATCTATTAGTGCAATTATTTATAATTTATTATATCCTTAGTGCAAGATTTTTCTTTTAGCTCTTGCACATATATTATATATGTGAACAACAATAGAATGTGTTTAAATTATTATTTTAAGGAGAAAGAAATAGCAGTATTCTAGTGATTCTCTTCATGTAGCTATATTATTAATATTATTATTTTTGTTTAGTTTATTATCCTTATTTATCCTTATTTTAAGTTAATAAATATACAGCAAACTCATCACAGTTGTATCACAAAACATCTTTTTTTTTTTTTTTTTTTTCAGCTCTCATCTTTCCTTGTAACCTAAATCATTCGCTCGATGTTTAACACCTAGTATATTCGCTTTATTACTAGTTTGCTTGAAATTGATAGATTACCATATATATATATTCCTTTTCCTATTAATATTTATGTTTTTATTAATGAACCTATTTTGTTTCATTGAATGTCAACCTGTTTTGTGTTCTTTAACCATAAAAAGTAATTTGTAACTAGTCAAGAATTGTTTTTGTAATATACAAAAGACAATATTTACGCTTAACCCATATAAACTATATATTTTTGTCCATGTTTAATGCTATTGCATCTTTGTAAGTTAAGAATCGGAAAAATCGAAACGTTGGGTTTTTACTATTTTGTTTGAAACAATTTTGCTTTATGTAATTTCAATTGATAACCATTCATAACTACAAGAAATATATACATGAAATACCCAATTCTTGCATTATCATCCTTTTTAACATCTTTAGTTTGTTCATCCTTCTGCTCCATAACACTGAACACTTTTCATACCATATTATAAATTAAATTTAGTTAAAATATTAATTATCAATTAGAGAATGTCAGTATAATTAATCAACAGCTAATCAAGCGTACAATTTTGATAGGACTCTAATTAGAGCCGTGCGTGATATCACATTATAATTAGATTTGGTATTGAAGAACAAATTGCTCATGAAGAATCCATTGATGTGACATCAATTTGTGTTCACGTATCGTTGGGTTGAGCCTCGAGGGGTTTTAAACCCTATGTAAATTTCCAATCCAGATTTACTAACTGGACATAATATACACGGGAGATGTGTATTGATTTTTTTTTATTATAAAATAACAATTTGATGTTGAAATATTTATATAGTAATATTCTTTAATTATACAATATTTAACTCAAAGGAATTAACATAGATTAGTAAGTATCATCTTTATTATTTCTCGCTTTGTTGTATTAACGTAATGTTTCTTTATTTTCTTTGGAATGTTATGGAATATTATTAACAAAGAGAGAAAAAAAATCATAATAGATAATGACAGAATTGCTCTGATTACGTCACAGGATTTCTTATAACTGTTATGCAACGCGTTTCGGGCTTTTATTCGGAAGGCGCACTGCCAACTCGCATTTCTATTTTCATTGAAGCGATTTTTTATACGCGAGGCGAGGCTCGAGAAAAATAAGATTTGGTGCTAAAAATAAACTTTATACGATACCTCGATGATATTCGGACATACGACCCAGTAATACCAGCAAATGTACCAATTATTTTTAGGGCAAACCTTTGGAGATCGAGAACTCGGGAAACCTGAAAATACCGTTGGCCAATGGTAACGTCATGAATATTCCCCTATCGGCGATCAACATCAGCGAGGAGGTCAACAAAACAGGCATATGGAAGCAGGTGAACCAGTCCAACAAGCGCGAAAAGGAGAAGGAGAAGAAGAAAAGTCCGCACAAGGTGTCTGGGTTAGTTTGTTGCGACTCGCTAGAGACATTCGACTGATTGTATTTCTCTTGTTTGCTTTTGCTTGAAGTCGCTTCAAGAAGAAGAAACACAGCAAGAAAGATGATAAACCGAAGGAACGCAACAGATTGGAGAAACGGTTGAGCACGATGGATGAGGAAGATGAGGACGAGGGCATCACTATTAAGGTGACAGAGACGGTATCCCTCCATATGTAAATTGTAAATAAGATATGTGACACTGCACCAAACAAAAAATCCTAACAATACACACAAAAACACACACAATACGATATAACTATAGCGTTTATGTGAGTATGAATATTGGTAACACAAGAAACTACAAGATAATCCCCCTTATTTATTGATATTACTTTTTTTTTTGGTATGTGTTTTTTTTATTATTGGTATCTTTCTTACTTCCCCCTAATTCAGTAGATAGTTTATTTATTTTCATGTGAATTTGAAGTTTCAAATTTAAATATATAAGGAAATGTGATTTTACAGCTTACATGTGCAACGGAAAATGGTACTAAAATATTAAGTTAAATGGCTTTTGCATGCTGCTGCATTGAATTGAAAAAAAAATGGTTTTTTCAAATGTTTTACAGTAATTCAAGTAGTTGCATGTTATAAGTATGATAATTTTATTTAAATATTGATTCATCGTTTCAACCGATTAAGATGTTATATTATAGTTTTCATCACCTTTTTTTCCAAAACTGATAATATTGTTGGAATGTTTTCAAGTGTTAATATTGTTCACAATTTTATCTTCTTCCGATACAAATTTAATCTATATTATCTTATATTATTACGGAGAAAATCATTAACATTATTTTTCAATTTATAAATGTACTATCATAATCTTATATTGGATAGTACAGTTGCTAGAAGGTTTTCAAAAATAATCAACAACACAATTAATGTGCTTAAATGAAACAAATTTCCATTATCACTTATAAGGAATAAATTATTAACTAATTACATAATAATGTACATAAAATGATGTGATCACATTATGTCACAATAATGATTTTTTATCTGCTATTATTTCAACATCTTCCTAGATATCAAATTGAAAGTGTATATTCTAGACCAGTAGTCGGTTGCGGAGCCGCATGCGGCTCTTTCATTGATTAGTTTTGGCTCTTTTAGTTATTAAACCACTTATTTAATAGAACCAAGAGTTCGGTCTATGGACCATAGGTTGCTCATTACTGCATGCGGTTTACTCTTTTTATATGATAAAATCTTAAAAATGGATCTTCACTCCAAAGAGGTTGTCGATCCCTTGTTCTAAACCCGTAGTATAATACCACAGATTTTTCATAGACTTTGGATAATTTTTATTTAAGATTTACTAATTTCCCTCAATAATATGTTTGTTATTCAATCCTAAATGGTGTCTATTTTTTGTAAATTTACATTTTCATATGAGTTTTACTTCAGTTGTTTAAACACATAGATTAATATTATAATTAGCAAAAATTATATTTATAGTGATTTGCTTAATATTATTCCACTCAAATTATTATTTTTTAGTTATATATTAAGTAGATAACGAGACGTGAAGGAAATTATTAATATAGTTCTGGTTGGCGTTTTCTTCTACGAGAACTAATATAATATTCATATTTTATTCATAAAATAAACTTTAATTAAATGATATAAAGAAATACATTATTCATAATAATCAATTAAAGAAAGTTTAATTTTAGTTTTTTATATCTTATGAATTTAAAACTTACTGACAATAATATATCTGGTAATACTAATCAGTATTAACAGAATTTTAAAATACTTATCGAAGATATTGATAATTGTGAAAAGAATGAAGTTTGAAGAAATATTTATTGCACCTTTTATGATTTTTTTTTGTCGCGTTCGAATCTCAATTAGCTGAAATGTTCCAACCCACATGCATAGTTTTAAATATATTTTAACATATTTTTGTTTGCAGCGTGAAGTTTGGCTTGTGGATAAATCGAAATGCAATAACAAAGAAGAGACCTGCGTATAAATGCGATAGTTTATACATCATTATTAAACAGAATGGCTGTGTGCAAATACCAAATTATTAACCAGATGATACTAACCAAACAGAATGAACGTATGCATCATTTTCATATAATGCAGAGTGTGTTTACCTTAATAACTGCAATAGGCTGAAATTGCGTTGATCTCACATTTATTTATTACAGTTTTTTGATTATTTTTTTTGTTGATTTAAAGGCCTAATTTGTATAATTTTGAATGGTAATTGAAATTAATGCTTTATACAAAAACGGTTGTTTCCTTATTATTATTTTTTATTAAAAAAAAACAGACACACTCTGCATGCATATATTTTTTAAATGTAATATTAATAAACGTTTGAATGTTTTTCATCCCTTCAATGTTTGTATTTATTGGTGTATATGATTTTAGATTTATGAGAAGCGTGTAGAATTTGTGTATTTTTTTGCAAATGCACAGCAAAAGAAATACTTGAGTTTTATGCCGATTTTGTGTTCACGTGAATGTGTAGACAGGAAACGATTGCTCGTCGAAATTTATTTTAAATGTATTTCAACGTTACGAAAACCCAACTGCATTTTCTTTAAAATATATCATTAATTTGTACCTAAATTCATTACAACTAAATCAACTTTGAACCAATTTACTCTAACTGTAACGACTTCTAGAGTTTTAATCATTACTTTGAATATCTTGTATCAATATTATTTATTTTAAACTCCTGACCACGAGAAGTGCCTAAACAAGTCGTTTTTGCAAAATCTTTTCACTTTAGTTAAGAAATACTATTAGACGTGAGATCGGTTGGTGTTTTCGGCGTTGATTATTGTCGGTTTTATAAATATATATATATTTATCTATGTATGCCAATAATGAGAAGGTAGATATTAAAATTTAGAATGCCTTTTTGTATGTGTCTGCGAGACAAAAAAAAACATGATGTATTATGTGTAGAATTTACCTCTTATAAATAAAATATAGATAATAAATCAGCGAGGAAGTTAGCTCAAGATATATATATATTTTACGTATCGCTGAATCGATGTGTCTAAATGTTGTATTTACTATTTACAAGAAAAAATATATATTGTAACTATTTATATGTCTGCACAATTTAAAAGTATAACAAATGTGAACCCAAAACTACAGAAATAAATGGATAAAAAAAGACTTTTTTTGAATTTGTCCTATTCCATATTATTGACTTATTATAATAGTATTTGCTTTGTCCAGTTCCATTTTAAAATTTGGTGGAAATATTTAATAATTTAATTTTTGTATCATTCCTCGTGAATGCCAATTGATTTTTATCCTTTGTTATTATCTTTTTGATTTTGATACCAATAAAACATCAATTAGTATATATAGTATATGTCAAATATTAAAATACCGGTAAAAATCATAAGACTGAAAGTACAACTTTCAACAATTGTGAAAACTTTATTTTCTAGATAATCCGTTCCAAAATTTTCGTATTTTTACTCGTATAGTGAAACAATTTTCCCCATATAAACTAATATAAGATATGATAGTGCGTTCCATGCCGGAAAAAAAGTATAACTTGATCTCGCTTTTTAATGATTTTGCTTTTCATATCTTATAAATTTTGCACAAAAAAAAATCACAAATAACATATTCGAACACAAGTTCGGAAATATGTGTGTTCATAAACATTACTAAGATGTAACTAGAATGACTTTTAACACCAGGAATTGTTTTCCTATTCACATATGTTGAAGTGAGTTTACACCTGACTCCATTTGTTTATATTGCTTTGTCGTAACCCAGGGATGGAATTCTGGACACAGTGGAATATTGTCTGGTGTTCTCGTTGTGGAGTCTCAGTTGTAGGAATTAAATAATTCAATTAGTGATCAATGATCGTCTTTTTCTCAGCTGAAGAACAAGTAATCGTCTTAGGTTTTTATGAGACTTTACTTGTCCTCAAAGGTTATTCTGAGACCATATTCACCTTTAAAAGTTTTACTGAGACTGATTCTAAATACTTATTCTACTTACAAAGTTAATTCTTATTAATACGGGAGCGTTCCCACCGGATTTGGTCTTGGTGGTTTTGTTTATTATAAGACCGTAACAAAATCTTATGTATTTGTTTATATGAAGAATATGATCGATTACGATTGTACGTGTAACGATCATTAAGTGTTTATAATAAGGATTTGAATTCGGAGTAAAGGTATAGGAGTATCGATGGGAATGTTTACGCTTGGTCCTCTTTGATTATATTAAAGTGTATCGAACTAGAATCACGGTAGAGATTCCTTTATGCTGATGTATATATTTATATAATAATGCAACCAAGAGACGCCGTGGATGTCTCTAGTTCGTTAATACACTATATTAACAATAACAATTATAATAATAATGCTTGTATCGATCCGGAGTCGGAGGTCTCTTTATACTTTTTATATTTGTTTATATAAACAAGCGTACATAATACATTTTTTTTACTTTTACATCAAACAATTTTATTCACAAACTGTTCATCAATGTGAACATTGAGTAAATTTAAGATTGAGGTTGACATTAAATGACATTTCCCGGTGGATAGTTACCATTATAATGATTTTGAACATTAATAATTACTTAAATATATATAATAAATGTGGTTTGTAACGCTTCAGCATGTTTGTGGTGTTGTGTCCAACCATTATTATTGTAATTATTAGTATAGTGTATTAACGAACTA